CAACCCCCACTGTGACTGTTACAGGGTGGGAAATCCTATTATTGTAATTGAACAGTGGAGCCTTAAAGAGGTGATTGGATTGTAGGACTGTGCACTAGTGAATGGATTAAAAATGGTGGTCTGCAGCATGGTTATGAGGGCTTTGAAAGAAGAGCAGAGTCTGTCTGTCTGTCTCTCTCTCTTTCTCTCTCTCTCTCTCTCTCTCTGCTCTCTCTGTTTCCACCATCTTGCTGTGTGATGTGGGTCACTGTCTCCGGTGGGTCACTGTCTCCACCACCAGATGGACTTTGGAATTCCCAGCCTCAGAGACTGTAAGCAATACGTTTTGTTTTTCTTTATAACTCACCCAGTTTCAGGTATTTTGTTATAAGCAACTGAAATGGACCGATACCCATACTGTATGCCATTTCTTTGCTTTTCTTTCTCATTTTTTTTACCTTCTCATGTACTATATAATATACTTGCTTATTTAATTTCTACCATCCTTCACTAGAAAGTAGGACCTGTTGAGACAAAGGTTTTTGTCTGTTTTGGTCACTTTTATATTGCCACTGCTGAGATATCTGCACAGAGTAAGCACACAGTAAACACCATAGGATAAAAGTGTTTGAAATAATTACTTCTTGACACTCTATGATCTTTCTCAATGCAACATTTTACATACCTTTACACTTGGGAAATTCCTGAACAATCATTATTCCATTTGTCTCATTCTATGACTCCATTTAAATAGATGCTGACCTTTCCATTTTAATGTCCATATCTCACCTTTTCGTTCAATCCTGGTTTGTCTTCTTTCTTCATTAAGTCTACTGTGATTCTTCCCTATCCTATTTTCCTTCCCTCTATTGGAATGAAACAACTGAAGAAGCCATGTTGGGACTAAAACCACATGGGCAGTAAAAGGTTTTAAAAGGACACAGTTTTTTCCTTGGCATGCCTTTCTCTGAGTTCCCTCTTTTCCCATGTTTATTTGATATTTTGAGCCTTGGTTATGGGGAAAGGTGACACTANATGAATTTTACCCCACCAGAAGGACCCTAATATAACACCATGGGTGGGAACAGAAAACAGATGGAGCCTTGGCAAGACCTTGCACCTGGCTCATTGCACAAGTCTCTGTGTCTCATGTCCCCCTCCTTCCTGCTTTTCATTTCCAAAATCACACTCCCCCAATCCCTCTTTTAAAACCCCTCAATAAACCTGAGTCTTTGAGATGGCTTTAGCCTGGCCATTCCCCTTCAGTTTTACCAGAGAGATGGGCGAGCCTAACTTCTCTCCTCAGGTCACTGGTATTCCTAAATAACAGCTGACTTCCATTTTCACCAACAATTTGACTTTGGGGTAGTTTCTTTTAGTTTGGGGTCAGGCAGCCAGACTTGGGCCCTCTAACAGATTTTGGGGAGCCTCCGCCAGGAGCTGAGTGCCCCCTGGTATATCTGTGATTAGTTCACTGGGCCTGTACACGTTGCCAATCAATCCCTTCATTGAATTCACTTTATTCTATGGTTCAATCCCAATTTCAATGTTTTAAAAAAATGTTCTTTAATATTCAAATATGCACAAATTAAAAGACACACTTTTTAATGAAATGGACACACCACAGGATTCAACAATGAGAACATTACTAGAATCCATAAAACCCCCCTTTCCCCCTTTCTATTCTCTTATCTCCCTTACTTTTATCACCATTGAATAACTTCCCTAGTGTTTGAAATTACATACTATGAATTTAACCAGAGAGTATACTCTCTTCTGTACCTGGTTTCTTTCACTTCACATTATATTTCTTTTCTGAATAACTAGCTCACCCCTTCCCGTTTGTGGTATACTTTTCCATTGCATGAATATGACAGTTTTGTTATACAGTCTACTCTTACTGGGCACTTGGGTTATTTCTAGTTGCTGATTATTAAAAATAGTAATGCTGTGAACATTCACATCTTTTGGTATAGTTTTAGATTGTTTCAGGTGAATATAGAACGAAGAGTGGTATTGTTGGACCATAAATTATTAACACAGATTCATGTTGGGTTATTAGTTGTTTGTATATTCAGATATAGTAGATAATGCCAGGCAGCATTCCAAAGAGGTTGTACCAATTTGCACTTCCACTAGCTGTGTAAGAAAATTCTAATTGTGACACATCCTAGCTAAAGTGTGCTACGGTCAGTTTGGTTGTTGTTTCTGTTATTGTTTGTTTTCATTTTAGCGATTCTGCTATGTGCATAGCAGTATTACACTATTGTATTAGTTATATTTCCATAATAGCTGATAAGGATAAGCATCATACAGTTACACTATTTTGTGAAGCATCCGTTTGAATGTCCCCCTCACCCCTTTTATTTTGGCAGCTGGCCGGTTTGGGGATTCAAATCCTTGTCCATCACTGTGCTCTAACCAACTGAGCTAACTGGCCAGCCATGTTTTCCCATTGGAACACTGGGCTACTTATAGTTATTGTATTAACTTGTGAAAGTTGTTTATATATGTTGGATACTACTTCTTTGTTAGGCATTTGTATTACAAATAACTTCTCCCACTCTCGGTCTTTATTTTTATTTTTTTATTAGTGTCTTGATAAATTGAATGTCCTAA